GATCATTCCTACCAACTTTCAGTTCAATCGGCCCAGCAGAACTTGACTTTAAGTTTGAAATGTAAAATGTTAACGGACGACGGACGACGGACGACGACGGACGAAAACGGATAGCAATAGGTCACTTGAGCTAAAGCTCAGGTGACCTAAAAAAATCAAAGTACAGAACATTTATCCACAATAGAAACCTGCTGTAATTTCTGACTATTTGAGCAGAAAATGTTTAATTAATCAGATTTAGTGTATGTCAGAAGTGTAGACAGGATGAACGATTTCTGCTTTTGAAACGTCACATTGTGAGAAACAGTTAAAAACTGATTTTTCATCATATCATGTTATAATAGATTAATTATTTCTTCCTTGCAGTTTCAAGAAGATCCTGGACATATACTCAGCTCTCTGCATGAGAATGAAAGCAACACTAATGGTGAGTGCCACAGTTTTGTTGTCTATTTTATTATATTGACATTTCTTCTGCACTCTCCCATTTCAATGCAAAGAGAATGCAGTACACGTTTGATAACACCACTTGGTCAAGCTTCCATTATTGTGATGTCACCAGTCTGACTGACTTTGCTGTATCAATCAACTCATAAGATTTGGTCAAAAACCATAGCAGTAGTTGTGGTCATACAATTATGTAAACAGAAACTTACAAACAGAGAGCATGATGTTAAATGTAATATGCTGATTTTTTGCAGACATTACAACTTTGTAATTGGAATATTTATAAATAGTTAACAACATGACAGTCATCAAAAAAAGTTTTGTATGATTGATTGATTTGTTTCTACTGCAGATGAACTTTCGGGTATTTTGAAGAAATTATCACTGGAGAAATACCAACCCATTTTTGAAGAACAAGAGGTATGTTCTATAGTCAAGAAATTAATTCTATTAATTTTGCTTTCAATATACATAGCAGTATTGACTTGATTACAGCCCTAGCTTTTGGTTGCTTTTTTTTTCGGAGAATTGATGTTCTAGGTTTTTATTAAATAAGATCTTGTTATAACAATAAGAATGTGGTCAATGGATTGTTTCTATACTGTGTAACCTGCCTGAGTGACCACCTGTCTAGAGCGACCACAGGTCCATGACTAATTTTAATTGTTGTTTTGATCTTTATGCCTGCTGATGTGACATTGATTACTACATATTGATGCAAACTTTAACCCAATTCTGTTAAAGGTGGACATGGAGGCATTCCTGACCCTCAATGATACTGATCTTAATGAGCTTGGCATCTCCCACACACAGTCACGCCAACAGATCCTGAAAACTATCTCTGAACTCAAGACAGGAAAGGTATGAATAGTGTGTGGCCTGGAGACCACTCCTCCACCAATGTACATAAGCAGGTAGTCCTTCACATATTACAATCACTGTAAGGAACCGGGGATAATGATACTTTCTTTTTCTGTGATAATTATTACTGCTTTTAATTGATATATGTGATTATCTCCCTTTACTTGTAATATAATATGTTATTGTTATTTTACATATGTTTGTCGCAATAATAGCTCTCAAGAGCTAATGTTCCTTGTTTACCTGTATGCGATGTTAAATAAAGTTACTTGTATCTTGTATCTTAAGCTTGTAACTCAGTCCTTGTTAGTGTTGAAAGTCCCTATATAAGACAGGTCGTCCTTCATCTATATTATGATCACTGTGATAAAGAACTCGGTCCTTGGTTGTGTTGATCACTCTAAGGATGTTACTATACATAATAGGTAGTCTTTCAATATACAATTTATAAAAATATTAATGACATAAACAACATGACTTTCCTAGCTGAAGTTGGGAAAAGAGAAATATTTTCATATCTTAATTGATATAATTGAAAATTTTATTTTCTTGGAATCCTTTAATAACAATTACAGTAAAAATAAACTACAATTATGAATATTTGTTAGAGATAAAAAAAAAGTTGTGAAACCAAATTCAGTGAGAGAGACACCAAATTCAATGAGAGAGACACCAAATTCAGTGAAAGAGACTGTCAGCAGTTTACTTGTATATTTTACTGCAAAAAACACCTTAATGATTTTAATTCGTTTGACCCACTCGAGTCCTCGTCATGGAAGAAATGTCCATACATAACGTAGATTCCCCACCCTCCAGTGTCGAATGCAATGAACAACAGGATAAAATGTTGTCTCATTTTTTGTCTAGTTTTTAAGTCAAAATTCAACTGTTGATGTTTTTGGTGACCAGGGTAAGGAGCGCCAGCAGTTTGTTGACACGATGACCACCTTCCAGACGACACTTAGAGTCAGACCAGCCGACCCGTCGAGTAGAATCAATGGGTATGACCTCAAACTCATCAATTTAGTCATTTCCAATGACATAACAATCAATAGCCAATTTATATATTCACTAAAACTTATTGATCTGCAGTCTGATAATCTAGAAAAGTATTTTCCTAATTGTTTACATTTAGAGATTTCATCTTGTTTAGTCCGGAACTGAATGATATTTGAGTTACAATTCTGTTTTACTAGTCTGAAAAACTTTTTATTGAATATTTTTTTCAACTGAATTGATTTTGCTATACCTAATTATAATTTTTTCATATTATTCCCGATAAATGATTGGCCAGAAGTGAATCACGTGTCCACCGATAAAAACCGATATTGACTTGGAGCGTGTGATTTTTGTTGAAGGACTGGGTGTTTCTAAAAATAGAATAATGATGTGTCTCCAAACGAACTTATCGTCCCGCTTCTGTAGCTTTTTGCTGTGTTTACTCAGATTGCTAACATTACTGTTTTGAAAATAATTAAACAATTGTAGCCTTTGACTTCAGTCAATACCTGGATTCATCGACCCGAGAAAAGATATATTGACCTCTGACTGCATCCTCTGTCAATATATCTTTTCTCGGGTCGATAAATCCAGGTATCGACCTCAGCCAAAGGCTATAATTGAATAATATTAAAATGTGAAAAAATGTAACATCATAATAGAGAGAATCCTTTATGATATTTGTGTAATTACAACTGACATAAGGAAGGTCCTATGGTTGACAAACAAAACATATTTTTCTTCAAGATTACAAACTGGCAAGGTTTCTTAACTAGGAATTCAGAAACAGTAAAAATTTTATTTATTATATTAAGCATCTGTCTTGTTTGAAACTAATCAAAACATAGTCTTGGTGCAAAAATAAATCTTCCTATGAATTGTTGTGAGACACACACACAAAATAGTAATATCCATATTTCTGAAAATCAGTATTAAAACTGATATTTACAGATTCTAGCAAGACTTGAATTTAAGATTGATTCAATTACATTTAATTTCTTCACTTGTTTGAGGTTATTTACAAGCTGATGACATCATGTTTTTGGTGCATTTGCAGGTGGTCACACCCGTCATCATCTGGAGACACAGACCATTCTTGAGGGACAACCATTGCATTGTCCTGGCCTTCTTTGGATAAGGACCTGACTGGAACCACACCTACTCGAGACATTGCCGTTACAGTCCTTTGATAATACAGATGTGCTAAATCATCATCATCATGGGACAGGTTCGTCCACACATTCAGAAAAGGGTCATTGGCGAATCCATACCTATTTGATAGGTTGGTTGGTTGACAGGTTTTTCGCCTACATGACTCCACCCATGCGGGTTTCATCTTACTGACTGAAGTTGGTGTTCTGTCGGCGTCTTATTTGAGAGGGCATCCACTGCTATATATACCCATGATGTTTGAGGATGGGACCACACCTAGTGTTGTGTTATAAGCATTCCATGTGCCAAGCTGGACTGATCACATGACTTGTCATGTTCTTCATCGCAGGAGGAATCATGCGACTTTTGATGGATCATGTGACTTGTTGATTGATCATGTGACTGATCATTGTTGATTTTATTTATTGCAGAAATTTATTACTTATAACCGTTATACATCAAGCTGGTTCTAATGCAATGCGGTCCCGTCATCAGGTGGATCTATTCATCAGAAATACTGCAAGGGAGAGGTCACATGACATTACATGACAAACTCCTTCAAGAGTGGAAATGGGGACTATTGCCAAAGACTAAATAGTGTACAAATATGATGTGGTGTGATGCCATCCATATGTTACTCATTCAATAAGTATATCCATTGCGGAACAACATGAATACAATGACATTTGAGATGTACATATGCTGTATATGCCACTTTTGGGAGTGAAGGACTCTTTTATTTTGTTCAACATTGCGAGCCTTCAAGAAAAATACAGAGATTTCCAGAGGATCGTGTAAAAAGTTACAGGCACTGTTGGAAAGCATTTCCAGATGTTACTCTGGAAATGATTTCTGGAGGTTTCAGTGACCATTCTGATTTTGTTGGACTGCTGAAATCATCCTATTCAGCTAATTTTGTTAAAGTATTCTTAAAGAAACACTATTTGTATATTTCAGTGTTGTACAATGATTTTTGGATTAGCGATCAATTTATTTGCATGATACATGTATGTTTTTCATTTCAATATTAAGAATAGCTCTGTTGTAGAATTCAAGAGAGAACTCACCGATGGCTGTGATGCAGAGCCACATATATGTGTTTGACTCTATCAAATGTAAGACTAGTGCTATCCGGCTTTAGTGATATTTTGTAAACAATTTATAATGAAATATATCAAAATGATTTGTTAAACTGTAAATAGCCTTTTGTTTTCACAAATAATGGTAGACAAATAACAGTAGACTAATGGAATGTAAATGATTATTTTGCAAATAATGATAGACAAATTGTTTGTAAATGATGGCTCTACAAATAATGGGGTTGTAAATGATTGTTCTACAAATAATTGTAGCCTGTTGGTTGTAAATATTTATTATACATTAATGTAATGTGTACTGTTGGATGCAGATTACCATTACTCCTTGTTAAATATTGACTATTTAATGTCAGAAGGATGACCTAAACTTTCAGTGAGAAAAGTAAGACAGAGGTGCACAGATGTGGAGTGATAGAAATATTTGTTCTGTATTGGCTGGTTATTTATAAGTACATGCTAGTGGAATGTGCAATCTGCAATGATCCATTCACAAAGTATTATATCTCATCAATATGCATAGATTATGAACTATAAAATGTCATATCTCTGCTCGTATAATGTCTTCGTCTATAAAAGTGGTGTAAAGATTGCATAGATTTATCAAAATATCTATATTTAACCTATAGCTTAAGTTCAATTATCATGTATTATATGTTTATGGTATTTTAGTTTACATTTCCAAGTTGTGTCAAATTTCATGTTTGTGTCATAATGCAATTCTTGACAATGGTTGACCTATTGTACCCTCTAAGTGTTCACAATAGCTGATATATCTGTCATATCTGTATTATACAAGTTTAGATTTGTCCGTCCATTACGTCTCGGCAACCATTACAAGGCAAAGATTTTACATATTCTCCAATCTATGCACAAACGATTATATATATATATTTTATTTTAATTATTACAACTTTATTATGCATTTTATTGGCCCATACATGTTTTATGTCTATCCCTCAAGGTGGTATGCCATAGATAGTGTAGTGTTTATATTTACTTGTGTTCAGCATCAGGGTCTGGAGTGCTACATCCTTCAATCGTATAACTGATCTTATTCAATACTAAACATTAGGAAAGTGAAAATAGGTTTCAAATTCTGTTGTTAATAGTAGGAAAATGAAAGTGGTAATCGTAATTTTGAATACATATCATACCGCAGACATATCTACTGCATTACATTCAGCATGATTTGGCTATCTGTTTTAACATGTAGGAAGAATACATTAATTCTATATTGAATGGTTCTCTTGATTGAGCTCTTTTATCACAAAACTACGAAAATATCATATTCAGCTAAAAAGTATGTTTACAGTATGAGGATATCCGATGCTATTTTCAATTCAGGAATATGAAAACGGTGTAGAAAATCAAGTGTCAGTTACTTCCTTTAACAGAAGGCTGTATGTGCCTCAGAATCGTCCAGGATGGAGATTGGCAAACATGTAAACAAATTCATGTTTTTAGTCTTTTTTACTTTATCTTTTGTGAACATGTTATCCCCAAACAATCAAAATAATCTTTGTTGCCTTCTAATGGTGTCAAAAGATTTTTGTAGTATCACTAAAACGAATAGAAATAATTTGTCTTTCTTTATTAATTTCACTTGAAAGTTACATTTTTAGGTCACCTGAGCTTTAGCTCAAGTGACCTATTGCTATCCGTTTTCATCCGTCGCCGTCGTCCTTTAACATTTTACATTTCAAACTTAAAGTCAAGTTCTGCTGGGCCGATTGAACTGAAAGTTGGTAGGAATGATCGCCTCATGGTCCTGACAAAGTGTTGTTATTTTTCGGGTCGATCAGAAATCCAATATGGCCGCCACAGCTGCCATTTTGAAAAACTATTTCAAACTTAAAGTAAAGTTCTACTTGGCCGATTGAACTGAAACTTTGTAGGAATGATCGAATCATGGTCCTGACAAAGTGTTGTTATTTTTCGGGTCAATCAGAAATACAATTTGGCTGCCATGGCCGCTATTTTGTAAATACCTATTTCAAACTGAAAAACAAATTCTAATAGGCCGATCTCACTGAAAATCGGTCTAGGAATGATCAGCTCATGGTCCTGACAAAGTTAAGTTAACATTATACTTAACTATTTTTTACTCAAATAAGTACATATTTCAACAACAAAAATACATACTATAGGACTCGGGTGACCGTTAAGGCCCATGGACCTCTTGTTTATAATCATGTCTGAAAGCTACATTTTCTATAATTATGTCTTAAAGTTATGTAATAATTTGTATACGTCCGTCAAATTCGACGAGAGTATTACGGTATTGAGAATGGAGTTGTCCGTCCGTTGAAAGTTTTGTTTGTCTGGCAATCTCCTCCTACATTTTTCGACCGATCTCTTTGAAACTTGGTATACATTATAATCATGATATGAAGTGTGTCTACCTTAAAATAATTTTGATTCGACAATATTTCCAAAAGTTATTGTCCTTTGTTCATTTCAGTATTCAATTTTTTGTCCGGAGATCTCCTCCTACATTTTTTGACGGATTTCTTTGAAACCTAGTAGGCTAAATAATCATATGCTGTTGTGTTTCCTTGAAAAGAATTTTGATTCAACAATTTTTGCAAAAGTTATTGCCCTTTGTTTATTTCAGTATTTGATTTTTGTCCGGCAATCTCCTCCTACATTTTTCAACGGATCTCTTTGAAACTTGGTATATATTGTGCATTATAATCATGATATGAAGCTGTGTCTCCCTTAAAAGAATTTTTCCAAAACTTATTGCCCTTTGTTCATTTCAGTATTTAGTTTTTTGTCCAGAGATTTTCTCCTACATTTTTTATAGCATGTCAGCTAACTACTCTTAGAATGATGCAAATTTTATTTCAATATAAGAAAGTACATAACAATATATGGCTTTCGACGGGCGTATATTGTTCCACCCCACGGTACTCTTGTTTGAGTAATTAACTATAAGTGACAGTTTTAATAATTAAAAAAATCCTCAGTTAATTGGGCCAGGAGAACATCAGTATCCATTATTTCTGGTTCCGTCTTAGCTTTACATGTGTTCAGTTTAAGTGCTCATAAATTAGCTTTGTGTGACTAAACATTATTTAGTAAGGAGCTATTATATAAATTTATAGGTTTTTTTTGTCTCGTGCTGTTATAGATGGGTCTTTACCGCTATTACGTTTTATCATAAACTTTACTTTGCAGTAAACCTGCAGATGCTATGGAACATTTTTGCACTATGATTGGAACTAATGATTTCCAACATGATGACTGACTATCATTTACTTTATGATACTAGTAGTACATGTAATTTACCTTATTGACGTGCCACAAGTCTTTCACATTACGTTTTAATTACGTCATTTCCCCATGGCCAAATTATAACTTTTTATGCTGGGATGAAATGTAAAACCTCAATAACTGAGCCACATACCGGGAAATGTTTGTTACAGTTTAATTTTCGTTGTTTTGGCCCACTGAAATGAGGTCGAATTTACCATAACATTGAACATCAGTAAACAACATCATATACATAGTGATTAAATGTGAAGAGCAAATTTAAATCTGGGCAAATATTGATTTTACCGACTAAGGGCGAACATTTTCTGGTTAACAGTTACTGTAATTAATCAATATTACTAGAGGAAACACGTACTGGATACAACAGGATGTCAAATTTTATCAAAATTAGATTTCGAACAAAGTCATGAAACTTTAAATTAAAAAAAGCAAAATAACAGAATTCTATGGGAAAAGATATAAGGTGAAAGACTTAAGGCACATCACTGTATATTGATGTTTTTACTTTGAACAACCAATCAAAGTTACACTTTTCAGTTTGTGAAATGTTTAATAAGATTATGAAAGTTTTGCTTGTGTGGGATGAAGTATTTTTGTCATTTTAAAGAAGATGTTTACTATAAACCTTTAAATATTGATACATATTTTTTTATTGAATCTGTGATGTACAGTGAACATGACCATAGAACTTTTATGACAGGGTAGCACTTTTAGAAATATTGTTTGTAATGTTTGTGATGTCACAATTAGTGACAAATTTTAGGATGGTGTCTTTTGACATATTTTCAGTATTTTTGCATGAATTCTTGTGATGGGAACTAAAATTTCCTCTACAAAATTTATCAAACTTGAACCATCTTTCATTCTAGGTTGCCATAGGTTCAAGCTAAAATGAAATTGTCCCACTGAAATGAAATTGTCTCAACTTGTTCTTCATACACTAATGATATGATCATTGATAATTAAATTAATGCTTTGTTAGTAAAAACAGTTTTCTGTCTAATGTAAATTTATTCTATGTATTTTTCATATAAGAACATTTTAACTGAGCTGCAGAATCAATCCGTCCAGTTGAATTTTACAAATTAAATTTTATCTTGATTTAGCTCTAGTATGTTGTGTACCGTCCAAAAGATCACATTTTAAATTTACAAAGAAAAAGTATTTGCTAACAGTGTGATTTGATTTAGTGCTGCTGGTAGTATTTTCCATGATCACAGAAGGTGACATGACCAGAACTGAATGTACAACGATTGTTCCCACTGGTTCGCTGAGTAAGATGTAATGCCTCTCATCTGTATGTTCATAGCAACTTAAACATGTACACTCTAGTGTTCTTTAATCTATGATGTTCACGAGATAATGTTTTTCATTTAAATTGATGAGGAGGGTGGATTTACATATATTTCTATAAGAGGTAATTCTTCTTTTCACAAAGTCAAGTTCTTTTGGGTAATTTACACTATAAAAACACTCAATAAATACTTATGAAATCCTAGTAGACAAACAATTGTAAACAAAAAAGTTATTTTTATAATGATGTGTAGTTATATTTTATCTGTACCTGCAGGCAGAGACTCAGGCTGTGATCAAAGTTTACACATGTACACTTTCTTTTGCAAGAACATGTGTGGCACCTATTTAGGATTTGTACCTAGAGTTTGTTCACATATGAAGATCTTGCAATGTCCTTTAATAAGTGAAAGTCAGGAACTTTGTACGCATTTCTGATTTTCATGCTGTACTTAGGTAGGTTATGATAGGTCTTAAACAGCCAAAATCATGACAGAAAGTTAACCTAGGAATTATCGAAGAAGTGGGAACATACTTGTCCATGTCTACGCAGTCCATGTTGTTAGTGTGATATGTTGATGTGTATGGATGCTTCGGTGATATATGTATATGAGTGCTGAGGATGCTTCGAGAGTGCTATTGTTATTTATGTTGGACAATAATGCCAATAAATTATCACATTAATTCACTTTTAAGCGTTGTTATTTTAAATAACAAGAGCACCCCAAACGAATGCATAATACACCCGTCTGACCCTATGCAATGATTTTTTGTTTGTTTGATATCTAAAGTACCTGATAATGTCATAAGGACACATGATCTGGCTGAACTGTACACCACTGTAGAAACTCGCACCACAACTTTAACCGAGAAATTGCGCGAGAAAAGTGAAGTCCCAAACACGTCCAAAATTTCCAAAAATAGAAATTATTTTCCCAAATTAAATCCATATTGACCTTGTTAGACCCCACATGAACATCCATGCCAGATATTAGGACAATAACACATGATCTGACTGAACTGTACACCACTGAAGAAACTTGTACCCAAATTTTAACTGGACAGACGGACGGACGCAAACGCTACAACCATAATACGTCTGTCGAAATTCGACGGGCGTATAATAAAAAGGAAACTGAAATACGAAATTGTTCAAGGTATTGTCATTCTAAACACTTGTATGAAGTTTCATGAAATTCTGTTGAGGAATGAAGTCGCTAGAGCGATGACAAAGAGTTACCATATGTACGTACGTAAATGCGAAATCCTATATCCCCTCAAATTGTTGCAAGGGGATGATAAAAACTACATCTGTTGAGTGGTTCACGAGATACTAAATGTATCTGGTACACATGATTTGTCAAGCTTTTCACTTCAAAGGTGATCAAGTGTGACTTTTGACATTTTAGCCTTGAATATTTTTTGACTCATATATAACTCCTAATATACCAATATATCAAACAGCTGTGTATAACGGAATGCAAATGCTTGTCAAACTGGATATTTAGCAACTGTTATTGGGGAGAAGGTGCGAAAGATTGTACAGACACCCAGGCAAACATATAACATTGGGGATGGGAGTAAGAAGACAAGTAGTTATACAGCTACATAGATGAGCAGTCGAGCTCCTAGTTTACCAGATGCTATAAGGTAATTATCATTGATAAGTTCAGTATAAACCAAATTGTTCTAGGGCAACTGTATTATACTTTATTCTGTATCTGAAATAATTGTTAAAATGAGCTGTCTAAGAGACATCGTTTAAATACTCCTTCCTCATGCTCAACACGATCACCTTCACTTGAATCCATCTCCATTTCAATTGTGGTCGTTTTGATCATCAGAATCTGGTTAATAAGCATTTTCATCAGTTTGGTCTGCAGAATCATCTGGATTAAAAATGCCTTTCACTGAGTCTATAACATTTTCCAGTTGCTCAGTATTATCTGGCATCAAGTCTGCATATTGTTGCTTTTGTATCTGTTGGTGTTTGGGTTTTTGCTTCGGTTTTACTCGGTATCTGACACCTTCCTCAGAATAATACAGTGCACCCTCTGTGCTTGCTTCTTTTAAGTCAATTGGCACTTTGTCACCCCAGTGAGAACGCCTGATGATTTCGTACACTGGTCTGAAACATGTAGCAGTTTACAAAGTATGAAAAACAAAATCACCATTTAATAACAATAAAAACAAATCATTTAATTATCTAAGTCCCACCACAGTGTTGATATGTCATATGCATGGATGTCCGAGGATGTCAATGTGTCACATGATCATGTCATTGAGGCATTATAGTGTCAAATGATCATGTTATTGTGAATTACAATGTCACATGATCATGTTATTGAGAATTACAATGTCACATGATCATGTTATTGTGAATTACAATGTCACATGATTATGTTATTGTGAATTACAATGTCATATAATCATGTTATTGTGAATTACAATGTCACATAATCATGTTATTGTGAATTACAATGTCACATGATCATGTTAATGTGAATTACAATGTCACATGAATGTGCCTTTGATGATATTATGTGTTACAAGATCATGTAATTGGGTATTTCAGTATATCAATTATCATATGATCATGTCAGAGGATGTCATGTGTCACATGATGTCCATGCAGTGTAGATGACACATGCTACTATAACAAGGGATATGTTGGTAATTAACACTGAAGATGTACCAGTGAGTAGTGTGTGACTTGTTTAGGCAACGTATGGTAGGTTTGTCGAGGGAAGGTACACAACGCTTGCATGTTCATTTCTTATGTTTTCACATACATTACACTACACTAGCACAACATGACGACCGGCTGAGTTGATGAAATTATATTAACAGCTGTGACATCAGCTTGTAGGTGAAATGAAAACAAAACATCAGGTGAGAACTTTTTGCACATGCAAAAGATCTAGGTAACTTTATCATGGTAACATCAAGTTGTACACGATCATTTCACTGAAGACATCAAGGTGTCAAATGATCATATCAGTAAGGTTTTGGAGGACCTACCTCTGTGTTTTTTTCTTCGACACAACATAGTGCCGTAAACTTCCATCGTGAGAGCACATTTGACAGTGGCTGTGGTGATCTTTATGTTTCATTTCCTGGACAATCCGTGGCCACTTTACATCTAGAGAAATATAAAATATTTTGATGAAGGCTATGAGAAAATATCCTGTGTAGTTTCAAGAAGTCAAATATGTATCCCCCAAATTCCTATATACGGACCTGCTCAACTGCCTTCAGGATGGTCATACTCTTCATTTATACAAAAAATGATTCCTATAGGTGTAGTAAATAATTCAGGTACCAGTTCAAGTTCAAATACACCAAACAACATTAGAGAGTAATCCTTAACACTATTTACCCCTTAGTCCTCTATTGGTCAACTCAAACTGTCCCCAGGGGAGCGAGCCCTTTTATTAAAATACAACATGGAAATTATTTGTCTAGGTATGCTCTACACGATATTAAATTAAACTATGTCAAGCTTTATTTAAAGAAGTCTTTCAAATATCTACTATAGTCCCTCTGCCCCAAGAGGCACCACGTTCTTCATTATAAGATATTAAAATTCTCTTGGCCCAAGGATGCTCCAAATGGACCATACAAAATAGTTCAAAATTCCTTCAGCCATTCTGCATAAGTAGTCTTTGGAAGGCCAGAAACTGTACCATGGCATAAGCTCTCTTTATCCTTTGGGCCAGTAAGCTACATTTGAACATAATGAAAATCCTTACCAAGATGGCCACCCAGAGCGAAATGTTGATACACTGAAATAACAGCTAATCATTTGTGTCCTTTTTGTGATATTACATGTATATTATAGCAAGCATATTCTACTTTATATAAAATACTACTGGGATCTTTTTCAAAGACAAATAACAACAGGTTGATATTATAATAAATTAATTTTCAATAGTTCTACATTTTTATGAGGCAAGCTTTTAATTAAAAGGTCAAATATTGTTATGGTACAAATTTCGGCTATTTGCCGGACAAATTGATTTATATTTTATTAAATTCTCCTTATCCTCACCTGAAGTATCCACCTTTCCTCTTTTCAGGATCACATAGGAGTATAAAGTTGTCAGCTTGTTGGAAGCAATCTGGTTCAGAAAAGGAAAATGGAATAGAAACTCTCAAAGTATCTTTTTGATAGGTAATTATAGTAAATATATATTTTTGCAAAAGATATATTATCAAAATTTAGCGAGGGTACCAAAATTAATATTACAAGTAAGTGAGGAAATGACACACCAAGAGAGAGACATTTCGTCCACTAAATCTGACAGTATCTGTCAGTCTCACACACTAACAAGTAGCAGCAAGCGTGTGAGCCAGCAGACCAACATCAGTTTACCCGCTTGTCGTGTGTATATCTGAATCTGTGCATTCACTTTGTACCGGCGAAATGATGAAAAATATTACTCTTCATATATATACTGGCAATTGAAATTAAAGCCACTGGGATGACAACAGAAAAAATATCTATTAAACTTTATTTATGAATACCTTGCCTGTTTTTCAGGATGTCACTTCTCCAAATGTCAGCAGTATTAAATCTAACACACGATAGCGCTTGTACTTACCTTAGATTGCTTTAGAGGTTTATAACTGGTGCTAAACGTACAAGCAATTTTTATGTCCTTGATGGCAAACTTTGGACATTTCATATCATGAGGGCACTGAAAAAACAATTTGCTTATATTTGCTTATATGTATTTTCAGAATTCTCATACATACTGGTAACATCATGGGCTGATCTTTAGGCTTAACATTGGCCAAAAATTGCTTTTAAACTACCTGTTTTGGATTATCTTTCAGTAAATTTCCACGATAAATTGACTATGCTCACTCTGTTCCCTCAAAAATTCAGGTGGGATTAGGGAACAAATCAAAAACCCATCCTGTGTACATTTTTTAAACTTCAAAACTGATTTTGCTAGCTTTTCCTCCTCCTTTCCCGTTGATAAATCTTACTCCAGCATCCCCATCACCACCAACAGTGAATTGCTGATCTAAACCTAATTTTGAGCCAATGAAATAATTAATCACTTTTACCTGTTAATATTAGACCATTTTCTGCACTGTATCAATTGAAAAACTTACCGGAGCAAATACATGGGGTTCATCATTAGAGGTATCGTCTGATATGAACATGGATGACTGTTAAACACAGAACAGAGAACCATATCACTTTGGTCACAAACATTAAATATAGGCACAATGTACTAACAATACAATTTGGCATTTAATTAATTTGGTATGATAGGGAAATAGTTTGCCCGTGTCTAATAAAGAAGTAGAAAAGTATGAAACATCCTTGCTGTAAAGCACAATATATGCACAACTATAGATATCAACAACTTTCTTAAAATATATTTAGGTTATCCGAGGAACTACCAACTACCGTTACTAGATTATGAAATCCAAATATGTACTAATGTAATTAAAAAGTTATCACACAGAAGGTCACAATACCCTAACATTTTTCAAGTTTCATCTAAAAATATTGCACCTATTTGGCCTTGAGGTCAGGGTCTCAGCGACTGATTGACAGTGCAATGCACATAATCTGCAGGCGATGCAGTTATATTACATGATTCAGAAAGATATCTCTTACAGCTTAAAGGTTACACCCAAGACAAGATGTTTCTGAAATGTTTGAACATATTTGACCTTTTGACCTTGATGTCAAATCACAGTGACCTAATGATGGAGCACTGCCCATTGTCTGTGGGTAATGCAGGAATACTGCAAGTTTCATATATTTTTTACAGTTAAAAATGTACAGCTCAGACAAGATGTTCCCGAAAGTATGCACTTATTTGATCTTAGACCTTGGGGTCAAGGTCACAGTTATCTATTGACAGAGCACTGGATATCATAGGTGGGTGATGCAGATAAACTGCAAGTTTCATCAAGATATCTGCAACAGTGTAAAAGTTTTGTCCTGGACAAGAAATCATTAGAAGAACCAGAAAAAGAACCAGTACTAAAACAATGTCTCCCTTAAATTAAGTGGAAGGGGAGACATTAAAAAAACCTAAAATGTTCTCCTGACTATCTTTAAATACCATGGCATGCTCCTATACCATAAAAGATGCTGCTAGCCTACTAGTGCGTGATGATGGATCAATGTAAACTAACCTCTTGTATCCATTCCTTTGCCTCCTGTATTAGAGAGTGACCTGCATAAGTGCCATTCTCTATCAACACCTTGAAACGAAAAAAAAAGATGTCATATTACACCTGCTATCAAGTTACTTTTCCACAACAAACTGTCGATCACGTCTCGTCAGATTTACTTTCCTTGTACCTCTGACAATATATTTAAGTCTGGGTGAAATGTTTTAACATCTCAAGGCCCTTAATAAGGTTTATAGTTACGTACTTATCTTTGGAAATTTCGTCACAATCAGTCCAAAGGTGATATTTTGTATTATTGTACTTGTACCTCATTTATATACCCAAAACTGCATGTCTGATTAGATGAACTTGATAAGATGACAGGGAAAAATTGTTACCCCAACTAATTTGCTTGAGTTTCTCTGGTTATATTTCTCTTATTCAGAGCCTCTAGCATTAAAACCGTCAAAAGCCACAATACCCGAGTTCCAAGAAACTGAAACAGATTACACCAGGCATCAACCTGATCATCATAACTGTTGTGTTACTGTTTTATGTTGTTTTTAAATAAAATATTCATTGTCCTTGTAGAAAAACAGGATTCTTTGCTCTATGATATTCTTTGAAATATGATTACAGTGTTTCTTTTCCTTAAATTGGGATTTGACCTTTTTGTCTTATTTTGGTAAAAAAATATGTCAATTGGGAAGGATTTTTTTTAGAAGTAAGCTGCAAATTTTGGGAATAAGGCATAAATATGAAATAGTTTCAATTAGGAATGGGGCTCATTATTTACCCCAAAATGTCCTCAGAAAAAAACACTAGACTAATCTCAGGGGAAAAAAGAATCATGATTCCCCACAAGAGGGGCAATAAATATATAATATCCCAATCTCTGTTTTCGTATGATGTGTTATCAGGTACACTTCAGTAGTGTTACAATGGTTACCAGGTACTCGGAGGTCATCTTCCACAGGTGGTTGACTAGCTCCAGACGATCTGTCCTGGTGGGCTGCTCCATTAGTGTGAAGGCACTAACAACCAATGGAAACGGTAGCTGTGAACCAACAAAACAAACATTATATTGTAAAAATATAGTGGTTATATTTAGGATAACATATTATTGATGCGTGACATTCTGTCATGCCTAGGTGTTATAAATGCTTTCAGAGTTATGTGACGAGGTTTATTACTATTTATGGTCAGTTTGTTATAAAACAGACCTATTAAATGTAGTTTTGAATGCGAGGATGATTTTGAAACTTGAGAGACTATAACGGGTAGCTTGTTCCTTAAGTGAGGGTGATGTTATTACTTACAGCACTTTGGATGGTTACTGGTTATTAAAGTGTTGTGTGAATCCGGGGATGACTTTAGTACCAGTGCTATCTCTTTGATGGTGGCTTGTTACTTACACTGCTATGTGAGGGTGATTTTGTTACTTACACTGCTATGTGTGGGTGAGTTTGTTACTTATACTGCTATGTGTGGTGACTTTGTTACTTACACTGCTATGTGTGGGTGACTTTGTTACTTATACTGCTATGTGTGGGTGACTTTGTTACTTATACTGCTATGTTAGGGTGACTTTGTTACTTACACTGCTATGTTAGGGTGACTTTGTTACTTACACTGCAATGTTAGGGTGACTTTGTTACTTACACTGCTATGTGGGGGTGACTTTGTTACTTACACTGCTATGTGTTGGTGACTTTGTTACTTATACTGCTATTACATGGTGACTTTGATACTTACACTGCTATGTGAGGGTGACTTTGTTACTTATACTGCTATGTGTGGTGGCTTTGTTACTTACACTGCTATACTGTATGTGAGATTGACTTTGTTAATTATACTGCTATGTGTGGGTGAGTTTGTTACTTATACTGCTATGTGTGGTGACTTTGTTACTTACACTGCTATACTGTATGTGAGAGTGACTGTGTTAATTATACTGCTATGTGTGGGTGACTTTGTTACTTATACTGCTATGTGTGGGTGACTTTGTTACTTATACTGCTATTACATGGTGACTTTGTTACTTATACTGCTATATGTGGGTGACTTTGTTACTTACACCGCTATGTGTGGGTGACTTTGTTACTTATACTGCTATTACATGGTGACTTTGTTATTTGCACTGCTATGTGAGGGTGACTTTGTTACTTACACTGCTATACTGTTATGTGTGGGTGACTTTGTTACTTACACTGCTATGTGTGGTGACTTTGTTACTTACACTGCTATGGGTAGGTGACTTTGTTACTTATACTGCTATTTCATGGTGACTTTGTTACTTATACCGCTATGTGTGGGTGATTTTGTTACTTACACTGCTATGTGAGGGTGATTTTGTTACTTACGCTGCTATGTGAGGGTGATTTTGTTCCTTACACTGCTATGTGAGGGTGATTTTGTTACTTACACTGCTATGTGAGGGTCACTTTGTTACTTATACTGCTATGTGAGGGTGACTTTGTTACTTACACTGCTATGTGTAGGTGACTTTGTTACGTACACTGCTATGTGTGGGTGACTTTGTTACTTATACTGCTATGTGTGGGTGACTTTGTTACTTACACTGCTTTGTGTGGGTGATTTTGTTACTTACACTGCTATGTGTGGGTGACTTTGTTCCTTCCACTGCTATGTGAGGGTGGCTTTGTTACTTACACTGCTATCTGAGGGTGATTTTGTTACTTACACTGCTATGTGTGGGTGACTTTGTTGCTTATACTGCTATTTCATGGTGACTTTGTTACTTACACTGCTATGTGAGGGTGATTTTGTTACTTACACTGCTATGTTAGGGTGACTTTGTTACTTACACTGCTATGTATGGGTGACTTTGTTACTTACACTGCTATGTGTAGGTGACTTTGTTAGTTACACTGCTATGTATGGGTGACTTTGTTACTTACACTGCTATGTGTGGGTGACTTTGTTACTTATACTGCTATTTCATGGTGACTTTGTTACTTACACTGCTATGTGTGGTGACTTTGTTACTTACAATGCTATGTGAGGGTGACTTTGTTACTTACACTGTAATGTGTGGGTGACTTTGTTACTTACACTGCTATGTGAGGGTGACTTTGTTATTTACACTGCTATGTGTGTACTTACACTGCTATGTGTGGGTGACTTTGTTACTAACACTGCTACGTGTGGGTGATTTTGTTACTTAAGCTGCTATGTGAGGGTGACTCTGTTACTTACACTGCTATGTGGGGGTGACTTTGTTACTAACACTGCTATGTGTGGGTGATTTTGTTACTTAATCTGCTATGTGAGGGTGACTCTGTTACTTACACTGCTATGTGTGGGTGACTTTGTTACTCACACTGCTATGTGTGGGTGATTTTGTTACTTAAGCTGCTATGTGAGGGTGACTCTGTTACTTACACTGCTATGTGTGGGTGGCTTTGTTACTTACACTGCTTTGTGTGGGTGATTTTGTTACTTACACTGCTATGTGAGGGTCACTTTGTTACTTATACTGCTATGTGAGGGTGACTTTGTTACTTACACTGCTATGTGTGGGTGGCTTTGTTACTTACACTGCTTTGTGTGGGTGATTTTGTTACTTACACTGCTATGTGTGGGTGACTTTGTTTCTAACACTGCTATGTGTGGGTGATTTTGTTACTTAAGCTGCTATGTGTGGGTGACTTTGTTACTTACACTGCTTTGTGTGGGTGATTTTGTTACTTACACTGCTATGTGTGGGTGACTTTGTTACTTACGCTGCTATGTGAGGGTGACTTTGTTATTTACACTGCTATGTGTGGGTGATTTTGTTACTTAAGCTGCTATGTGAGGGTGACTCTGTTACTTACACTGCTATGTGTGGGTGACTTTGTTACTAACACTGCTATGTGTGGGTGATTTTGTTACTTAAGCTGCTATGTGTGGGTGATTTTGTTACTTACACTGCTATGTGAGGGTGATTCTGTTACTTACACTGCTATGTGAGGGTGACTTTGTTACTTACACTGCTTTGTGTGGGTGATTTTGTTACTTACACTGCTATGTGTGGGTGACTTTGTTACTTTCACTGCTTTGTGTGGGTGATTTTGTTACTTACACTGCTAGGTGAGGGTGATTTTGTTACTTACACTGCTATGTGTGGGGGACTTTGTTACTTACACTGCTATGTGAGGGTGACTTTGTTACTTACACTGCTTTGTGTGGGTGATTTTGTTACTTACACTGCTATGTGAGGGTGATTTTGTTACTTACACTGCTATGTGAGGGTGGCTTGTCTCTGAAAAATACTTCGGGTATCGCCATCTTTTTGTACTCATCTCCACCTGTAAGAAAATTTACATCATCTCTTTTTGAGGTCAAGGTTATCTATGAAAGATTATTGTTTACTGAATGGGTAAAAATATGCAGGTTATAATCATGTTACAACATGTAGATTATAACCATGCAAGAACACGTAGGTTGTAACTAGGTTGCAATATGTTGGTTATACCTATACCTGGTAGTTCAAAGATCACAGGTTATAACAGGGTAAAAACATACATTCATTTTAAAATCAAATTTCTACCTTTGAACAGAAATGATCTGCCCTGATACTGTTGTAATGTTCTCTTAATTAATTATAGGGTCCCACTAGTGCCCTTTTGATTTTTGCTGATTTGTGCATTACGCTGTAATAATTTGATTTGTTTGGTCATTTGTGGACCAAGCTGGTGTCCCTCAGACTTGTGCTTTACTCTGAAATATTGTTGTTTTGTTGATTAGTGGGACCCACTGGTGTCCGTTGCACTCGTACGTACCCTGTAGTAATAGCCTAGCAATGGTTGACATGTCTGTAGATTTGTCCACACAATAATACTGTTTCACAGCTGACCCCCATAGGCTGTTGCTTGCCCTGAAAAAGTCAACAGATGTGGTCAAATGTTTTGAATAAGAGGCTATGGATCTTAAGATTTAAACAAGAGGCCCATGGGCCTTAACGGTCACTTGAGTTGATTTCCAATTCCAAATATACCCAAAATTATCATTTTTCTATATAACTATAGTAAACTTTACCCCATCTCCAGGGGATAAAGCGCTTTAAAGTGTTTCCAGCACATCTTGGTCTGGATAATTTTTTTAATTTAAGACAATTTGACCCCTCAGCCCTTAGGGGCGGCCCGGGCCCAAACTTTATCAAAGTATCAACAATCGTTTCATACTGTAGTTATAATGTCTGTCGAGTTTGAATAATTTCAATTGAAAATGAACCAAATATACCCAAAAGTATCATTTTCCCATATAAACTATAGTAAACTTCAACCCCTCCCCAGGGGCAAACATGGAGTCTGGGGGTCATGAAATTCACAATTTTGATAAAGTACCTCAAGACCCTTCCATCTATGACGATGGACAAAAGCAATTAGAATAGGTCACTTGAGACTTTGTCTCAGGTGACCTAAAAATTTAATAATATGGCCATAATTTATACAAAAAAGATATCCAGTTAATTAAGCAATGATGTCAAAATTTAACAAACAAAAAAAGGTCATCACTCTTCATTTAAATTCATTATGACTGTCATTTTTTGAGGACTAAAAGAAAATATCCATAAATGATTGTGTCTATATATAAGTAAAGTCCATTCCTGAAAGGTAAAATATAACTGCAGATCTACAGCCAATCACACGTCATGACAAAATTCTGTGTTATTATACGCTGCCCATCCAATCATAGGTCAATTCAGTGAGAGGTCAAGGTAAGCATCTGAGTTTCTATTTATAGCCAATTCAATAAGAGGTCATGAGGATTTGAGATTTTATTCAAAGCCAATTCAATAAGAGGTCATGAGGATTTGAGATTTTATTCAAAGCCAATTCAATAAGAGGTCATGAGGATTTGAGATTTTATTTACAAATAATTCAATAAGATTTCAAGGTGATAATCAAAGATTTTATTTACAGAAAATTAAATAAGATGTCAAGATGATTATCAGGGATTTTCTCTACAGAAAATTCAATAAGATGTCAAGGTGAGAATCAGAGATTTTATTTACAGCCAATTCGATAAGATGTCAAGGTTATAATCAGAGATTTTATTTACAGCCAATTCAATAAGATTTCAAGGTGATAATCAGGGATTTTATTCATAGACAATTCAATAAGATTTCAAGGTAATAATCAGAATTTTTATTTACAGCCAATTCAATAAGATGTCTAGGTGATAATCAGGGATTTTATTTACAGCCAATTCAATAAGATGTCAAGGTGAGAATCAAAGATTTTATTTACAGCCAATTCAATACGATGTCAAGGTGAGAATCAGAGATTTTATTTACAGCCAATTCAATAAGATGTCAAGGTGAGATTTCAGAATTAATTTGAAGCCAATTCAATAAGATGTTAAGGTGAGAATCAGTTATTTATTTACAGACAATTCAGTAAGATGTCATGGTGAGATTTGAGTATTTATTTACAGCCAATTCAATAAGATGTCAAGGTGAGAATCAGAGATTTTATTCGCTGCCAATTCAATAAGATGTCAAGGTGAGAATCAGAGATTTTATTCACAGACAATTCAATAAGATGTCAAGGTAAGTATTGAGATTTTATTAACAGTTAAAATGTCAAGGTGAGAACCAAAGATTTTAATAACAGCCAATTCAATAAGATGTCAAGGTGAGAATCATATATTACTCAGAATTTACCTTGCCTCTAAGTGTAGTCGAACAGAAAATACACACCCATGATTATCCAGAATTAAATTTACATAATGAACCACATCAATAATGCGACAGTTTTTAGCTTTCCCACAAAATAATGCTTTACAGCTGTTCTTAACATGCCTACATTTATGTCTGAAACTGTTTATTTATTATTTAAACATTCATCTTTTTTTCTTAAAAGATGGAACATGTATTACCTATAGTTCATGACCTCTTTGATACTATTAGAAAACCAATCTTATTGCATGGGTAAGACATGTACTTACCATACTGCTGTTCCCAGTCCACTGCCTACATTATATACTGCACTGGGCGCAAAGTCTGGATTTCGCTTCTCTATCTACAACAAAATACAAATGGTTTATCATTATATATGACATAGTAATGGAACATATGTTTAGGTGGTGATAACTGGTACATATGTGTAGGTGATGATAACTGGTACATATGTGTAGGTGATGATAACCGGTACATATGTGTAGGTGATGATAACTGGTACATATGTGTAGGTGATGATAACCTGTACATATGTGTAGGTGATGATAACCGGTACATATGTGTAGGTGATGATAACTTGTACATAAGTTTCAATGGTGACGACTGTAACATTTGTGTAGGTGATGACAACTAGTACATAATTTGTATGTGTAGGTGATGATTACCGGTACATATGTGTAGATGGTGACAACTGGTTTACATGTGTATGTAATTATAGCTGATTCATATGAGTAGGTGGTGGTAGCTGGTACATATGTGAATATGTTGATGCCGGTACATTGTACATGTGTGTATACAATAACGACTAGTCAGAACCCAGTATACCTACCTCAGATAGACATGTGCGGATGATATTGTAGTTCTTTGACAGGCGAGCCAAGAGATAGACAATGGTGGTATAACCTGTGTAACTAAAAAATCATAGAAATCATTACATTTTTAGTGTAAATTTTACATGTACATGTATGGGAAAGAGTAGTTATCAATACACTGTAGAACAGGTTTCAAGTGCACTAAGAATTGTCACTTTACCAAAGATGTTCTCTTCCATGTTGAAATCATGGATTCATCTCATAGAAAAATGCAACCTCAATGTATGTAACCCAGTATATAGGATATAGTTTATACAGGTTTGTATAATATCTATAACACCTTGTGTACAGTATATTATATATAACACTGTTTACAGTAAACATAATTCTGTATATAGTATATATAACTCTGTACATAGTAGATATAACCCTCTATACAGTAGATATAACTCTGTATACAGTATATATAACTATGTATACAGTAAATGTAACACTGTATACAGTATATATAACTCTGTATACAGTATATATATAACTCTGTATACAGTAAATATAACACTGTATATAGTAGATATAACTATGTATACAGTATATATAACACTGTATACAGTATATATAACACTGTATACAGTATTAAATAACTCTGTATACTATAAGGTTATATATACTGTATACTATACAATATATATCAATCGGTATACAGTAAATATAACCCTGTATACAGTAGATATAACCCTCTATACAGTAAATATAACTCTGTATACAGTAGATATAACTCTGTATACCGTATATATAACTCTGTATACAGTATGTATAACTCTGTATACAGTAAATATAACTCTGTATACAGTAGATATAACTCTGTATACAGTATAAATAACTCTGTATACAGTACATGTATATATTAACTCTATATACAGTATATATAACTCTGTATACAGTAAATATTCAATTACATCAACCTTTGTCTCAATGTTATGCCACTAGATTTGCATTCTGTTTCCTATGAAAAGTTTTTTTAAACTGTCTATTTTTGTATCTTTCCTCCATAAAACATACTGTATATATACATATAATAAAAAGTGTAAAAATAACGTAATCTGTTATTTCTTTCCAGCGCAAGTAAATTTATTAGGCTTTAAATGTTAAATTTTAATTTGTTTTTATCTCCATTTAAAAAACAAACATGCTTTTTGAATGACCTAATTAATCTCACTCGCTCATCAGAGACAGGGTATAGTTTTTTATCAATATGATATTTCCAATACAAAAGTGCTCACTATATTCACCTTTCCTGGATTATAGACCTAACATTTCATAGACTTTTAGCAATAACCTATGCCAAACAGAGTTTTTTTAACAATGACAACCTGTTTCTTACTCAATTGACTTCTGTAAGTTAGAGGTCTTTCGAAGAATGTACTGTATCATGTTTCTCTTGTTTTTAATGTATACATCTAGCTCCTCTTCACTCATGGCAGCAGGATCTTTTTTATCTGAAACACACAAAATAAAGAGCTGAAAACACTGAATGGCAAACCGTTACCTAGGTAAATATAGGACTCATTCTTCACTTGTTACCCCGAGACTGATGCCACTTGTGTGAAGGTTTATGAAAATTGGTTGAAAATTTCAGTAAGGAATTCAAAGGCAAATGGCAAGTTTTCCATTAAAAGTAAAGTAAAGATTCTGTATCTGCAGTGCTCCAGATAGAATATTATATGCGATGGAATAAGCAGAAAAATGCAATAGATCATGTGAAAATTACGTAGTGCAAAATAACCTTAGACATTGTTCATCAATTCTGGATAAACACTCTTGTTTCAATTTTTATTCTCAAAGATAACACAAGATGCTTGAATGAAAATACTGGATATGACAATATACCCTCTGCTAAAGTCATCAAAATACATGTCCCTTTTAATGAAGTTGTTCTTAATATCCTCTCCTCAAAACCTTCAAAACTTATTGATGTGCTCATGCATCAACGGAAACTTACACATTCTGATATTTGGGCTAAATTTCTTTAATTTCACCTGAAAAACCAGCTCAAGTATATTGTTTAAAACCATTTAAACTAACTTGTAAACATAAACTATTATAAGGGTAAACCATCTTAACTGACTTGTAGCCATACACTATTATAAAGGTAAACCATCTTAACTGACTTGTAACCATAAACTAGTATAAAGGTAAACCATCTTAACTGACTTATAACCATAAACTATTATAAGGGTAAACCATCTTAACTGACTTATTACCATAAACTATTATAGGGTAAAGCATCTTAACTGACATGTAACCATAAACCATTATTAAGGTAAAGCATCTTAACTGACTTGTAACAACTAACTTGTAACCATAAACTATTATAAGTAAGGGTAAACCATCTTAACTGACTTGTAACCATAAACCATTATAAGTAAGGGTAAACCATCTTAACTGACTTGTAACAACTAACTTGTAACCATAAAATAGTATAAGGGTAAATCATATGAACTAACTTGTAATTATGAACAAATATACGTGACCTAATCTCACTCGGTCCTTTAGGCATTAAAAAACCCACTCATGATCAAACTACAAAACTGTTCAGCTAACAAATGCTTATGTAAACAAAATGGTACCAACTCAATAGTTTTAATTCAGATAAGGAAAGACAGACTGTGTGTATGTTTTATAATTAACATTAAGTTTACTTTTCTTCTCAAGTCTCTTGCCTATTGCATCTACTTTTTTTTGCAATACTTCCGGTTCTGGTGGAGGATGGCGACCCATGATGCTGCTATCCAGCTTCTTTGCCTCATCAGCTGTAGATTTCTTTCCATACTCTGTAACACAGTGTCAATGAGGTCAGGATTAGCGTAAATCTTCTATTTAAACTGTCATGTCCATGGACACAATGCTATAAAACTTTATTACCATAATCTCTAATGATTCATAACATTCATTTACTGATTTAAGACCTTTGTAATTCCATTTTTCTTCATGACTGCAAATTTATTATTTTGACAATACAAGTAATAAAGGAATAGAAAGCCTATACATTTTGGCTCTATCTGTCAGGAATTTAATGAGAAACTGGACATCAAGTGAAGGTACAAATTACATGTGGTTTTACGGTATATTATAATTAGACATGTAAGCCAGATGCTGACTAATACAGTAGAGCAAGTAGTCGGCATAAGGGGAACAACTCTGCATGATACACATGAACTACATATCCACGAGTGAATTCTACTGCATTTCAAAGAAATCATATGGCAACCAAGGAACTATGTGCATGGTGAAGTTCAGAAAGAAGCACAGACTACACCTCTATCCCCAACTTTGCTACATGGGTTTACTGGTTATAGTGATTTTGATAAAAGAGGACATTTTCGAACCTGAGATTTTTTTCTCTTTTAATTTTATATAGGTATATGATGGTCAAGGGCCAATAATTAAATTATGTGAGTTACATATACTATTTCAAGTTTAGTGTCATAGCTATCCATACCCTGATAATTTATAATACCAGGGCCAGGTATATATAATAATTAGTGAACTTTATTCCGGTACAGGATTTGAACAATCCCCTTCACCGGCCTCAAAATCATATAGTAAATAATATAGACAAAATGTACAATATAATATAAACAATATAGATAGATGACATCACTCCTGACATAATAAGATCCCAAGCATAGAGAAGCTTGGTTAGAGTATGAATAAACTAAAAAAAAATATGTAGCATCACTAGCATTATATGATAACTTGCCTCTCTAAATCTGCAGACAGATGATGGGAAACATGTTCCCAGTACACACACAGAGGGAGAGAAGGACAAGTTTGCCCAAGTGTACATTGTAGTTTATTTTTCTACCGACTACAAGTGGACCATATTTGCCACCTCTACTAATTTTATCTGCAGTACTCACTTGCAATAAGTATATCTACAGCAGATACTAATTTCTCAGGAACAGGAAGTAGTATGTTTTGTGCAAAACGACCTGGATGTTTTCTTCTTTTAATACTCTCCCTTTCCATCTTTTGCAGAACTTCCTCTTCAATGTTGATATCGTGTGGGAACTGCAGCTCAGCCTGAGCATACTGTCAAATACATCACATCTCAAATCAATTAGATACAGTACAAAGAAACCATTAAAGTTACTTCAGGCAGCATGTGTGACTGTGATAACTTTCCACCCACAGGCACTTGGTGTACTACTAATGATGGACAAACGAAGTAAAAACTATACACGAAATACCTCCCACAGGTCAATATGTCCCATAAAATATGACAGGGTTTTCAATACATTTAATTCAAATAGATATTCAAACAAGCATACAAAGTGTTTTTAATTTAAGATGTGACACAATTTCAATTTTTTATCCAAATGAAGGTCTCGCATTTATCTATGTATCATTACTAGTGTAGTCTATAATGCCTTATACCGATGCAGTCAGACATTTATCATGAAAAAAACTTTTCATTAGTAAGTCAATTAAATCAAAACAGCCATAGAATGTGACACCATATTATTAACTATATATGTTAACACATTAAAATAAAGTTCCTGAAATGTTTGTTAAATATTTGGATGTAAAATTATTTTTAATGTTTTACTCATATATACATTGTATGTAATAACTGTTAGAATATCAATCTTTTTTTTTGATAAAAAATAATGTTACAAAAAGACAGACAACAAGACAAGAATGGGGGAAAATACACAACACAACAAACCTAATTAATTAACATTGTATTGTTTGAAGTCACACGACTTTCATTGTTACTCCAACATCAACTTAATTAAATCTCAAGCATTGCCATGTAATAGTCACCAAATATCTGTGCTCTGACAAGGACTGCCTAACTGGTAAAACTTGTCCGCACTGAGCCACTGATATTAATGCAGTTGCAGGGATTTCATTGGTAGAGTGCCAGACTAAGAAACTACATGACAGGGTTCTCCCCAGAAATTTTTTAAGCTGATATGTTTCATTTACAGCGAACATTCAAGATGGACACGCTAATATAATACCTTATAATACCTTATAATACCTTATCAAACCTAAGTTTTATGTTTAAAAAGTTACTTTTATTTACAAATTTTCTTTTGGTGAACATTAAAACCAAGGAAATAAATAAGTGTTTCTTATGTCTGAATTTTCAGCAATATTATTGTTTTAAATATTCTAAAAAAAATACAATTTATAGAAAGGTGTATGAGTTTTGTACATTGAATAATAGATATGACATTTGTGACATTTGTCTCTTATCTTTACATTTGTATCCCTTACTTAATCCCCATTAAAAATAATTTAAAGAAGAAATATTTAAAAGCTGTTTGTGCTATAGGGGGAAACACTCATGAAAACGTTTATATCATAGTTCTTATTACTGTAAGAGAAAATGTTTTAATAAAATGTACAGTGTTTTTATTTCCTCCAAAACTGTATTAAATACTGCTGTCAGTAAATGTGATCAAAGATTAAAACAGCATTTGTATTTGAGCTCTTCTTCATTAAAAACAACAAATGCGGATTTTCATTCCCCTTTCCGGTTTGTACTTTACACAATCCAAGATGGCGACCATCACTAACTCAATACACACGCTATTTCAGCGTTGTCAAATGCAATCATATGTGAGTAAATTAATTTATAATAAATGTAATAAGTGTTTCTTTTGTTAATCCAACAGTAGGTACATCAATTAATCACCTATTGACCATGCTAAAAGGATCCGGTGGTAATTGCTTTAGGCTCCAGTGAGCACGCTTGCCGGACACCTGTGGGCTTGTCGTCCGGTCGCCCTCCCCACTAATTACAGCCCCCCCCCCCTGTGGCAATACGCCTATCGTGCAACTGATCATGACCAGTGGGGTCATTGCTGGACTTGGGTCAGCCGTGTGATTTAATCAGTGTAAATTTCTTGTGTAAAAAGACCACCTTCAGTACAAATAACAAGGTGATACGGTTCACAGTCTAAGGTAATAGGGGTCAATTAAGCTGATACGGCAGGGAGGATTTCAAACTGAAGCTGATACGGAGCCGTATCAGCTTAATGGCCTGGGGAGAACCCTGACATGATAATATAGAGACATGTAGATGACAGGTATTGAACCAGCGACACCTATATCAGATATAGGTGTCGCTGGTTCAATACCTAGTGGAAGCACACTCTCTTTCCTGTTACAAAAAGTGTATGTGGCACCCCATAGGGTGACAGGCAGAATTCAGTTGGTTGAGAGGCAGTCTGGGAAGCTGGGGTTGCCGGTTCAATCTCCAGTGGAAGCACACTACTATCTTTCTTATTACAAAACTATGTCAGTGCCATGACAAGTGTCTGAGATAGCTCCCAACATGTCATTGTTGTTGTTGATAGTGACTGTTGTTGTTTTCTGGGGTACAGGATGAACAGGGGACGTAAGTAACCAACAAAAGCAGATTGATGTCATGGTGATACACTGTAAATGGTTTTTTTAAATGTCCACTCCAATGTCAGTAGTTAATATTGGCATGACACATTTGGCAGATGCTTTGCAGCAGTTGACATAATAGTATGAGTCGGAACATGACTGGGTCGAATGTCGACGACCAGGTTGCTTCATTGGTAGCGCATCCGTCTTGAGTGCAGGAGGTCCAGGGTTTAAATCCTGGTCTGGCTGTGCAATTCTCATTCTCTTGTTAGTGTTAAAGTGGTGTCTGTTGCCAACCCTTGTTTAAAGCATTGAGTGTAGGTTTGGGAGGAGATACCTGAACCTGGGGCCTGTTCGTTGATGCGAAACAACTGGTTTGTCCGTTTATAAATTTAACATCTTTTGGTATAAATTCTGTTAGGACTGCAATAAACAAAAGCGGCCCTGGGTGGAAAAGGTGTTCTTGGGCAAAGACATAAAAACAGCTGGGAGAAATGCAGTAGAACTGGACTGAGTCGACCGTCCGCGACCAGGTAACTCAATTGGTAAAGCGTCAGTCTTAAGTTAGGCTGTGCGTTTTCCATCCCTGTTTAAAATATAATATGTCAAATCGGCCGACTAGCATCTTCTGAAGGGAATATAGGCCTACCATCGTCTAGCCCGAGTTACCCCTGGTCCCCTAGCTGTCCCACACCAGACACATATCTGTCAAAATGTCTAAGTATGGTGGCAGGGCCAGAGGAAACTCGGGCTAACCATCGTCGTGACATTTCTGATTTATCAATATAATTCAATGTCCAGTTTCGGTGCAGGTCAAGTTTTAGGTATTGGTTTTACGAGACAATGACTGAACAAATACTCGTTAAATACAAAAGTGAATAGTATTTGATCGCTTACCCCTCTTCTAAATACGCCGTGCAGAAATTTACTGTATGTTATTGAAAATCGACATGATGCCATGCGCCCCTGTATGGCGGCTGCCATTTTTGTTTGTCGTTCGGATTAAGTCACATTTTCGATACATTTAACGCAGAACCTTAAGATGTTCGAAAAAAAATGATTCTGAATCTTTTGCGCGTTTGAAAGTAACGGATATTCGTAAATAAGATTAAGGTTTACAATTGACACCGAGAAGGGGAAAAGTTTGGAAGGCTGCTTCACCACATGAAATGACGCATTGTATAACATGTTCTGCTCCAGTAAATATTGCTGTCATCAAATATTGTGCGTATAGACGAACCGAGTAACAAATTATATACCGATAATTCAATCTGAAAATACGATCCTTATCCCTGATTGTTAGCCAAGTTTCATCTGGTCAGAACACCCGATTAAAAAAAAATATAATTTTTTTTTAATAATAACATCCAGTACTATACATGTATATTGGCAGATAGATCTAGATGTCTGGTTTGAGTTTATCTGTTAAAATGTCAAATAGTCTCGTGTTAAGGATGGGAAAAAACCAACATAAGGGACATAAGCAAATGTCATCTCCTAACAATGGAATATACTGTAATTTATTAATTCAATGAAACAAGTTTTCCAAATTTTTGTTTGTTAACTTTGAAAAAATATATCATATAGTACTGTAATAAGTCTGGATTGAAAAGGTTTAGGGTTTCATATAAAAAAGTTGTTTGTTTACTTAAACAAAATAAATATATTTTATTTGACATTTACCTTTCATTGAAAGACATTATTAGCATATTAGTTTTGCTATTTCAGGGGGAAAGAGTGATGAGGCATTGCTACTCCCAGCCAACTCCTCTGTCAGTGTAACTCTCCATCAGGACCAGGTACAAAATGTAGTTCAAATACTGCCACAACTGGAGTAGGTGTGAGGGGAAACAGATTAGTCATCCTGTGATGATGCATTTCAAACAAGGAAATGGAGTCCAAGAAAAAAATCAAACAATAAAGTGGTCAATTCCCTAAGTTTGGTGTCCTTTATAAATGGAGTAGTCACAAGGAGGCTATACTTTGATAAAACTGTCAATATGATTTAGATTTTTTGGAATTTCTATATTTGACATAAGAGGGTACAATGGAGGTAAACAATGAACATGTAATAAGCTTAAGGCAAAAGTGGTGATTATAAATATAGACCATCACTAGTCATATTGTAGAGCAAAACAATCAGAGATTGTGTTCAGAGCAAACAATATAATCAGCGTAATGATCATCAGTGATTCTTTACTATGTACATGTATGTACATATAATGTATTTTCCACAGCTTCAAGCTCAGACCACTGTTGCTGCCAGTCATCATTTTGAGAAGGACAGGATATGGCTCAATGGACAGTAAGTTTAGTATTATCAATCTCTCTGAAAATTTCTAAGATTGTCAAAGTAAAATCTTTTACAATGACTCTCTTCTTTAATCAAAGTGAAAGGGTCTCTTCTTTAATCAAAGTGAAAGGGTTAAAAAATACTCATGTATCCTAAAAAAATAAAAATTGGGATGTAATATAATTGTAATTGAGCTTTAACATTCCATCAAGATATTTTTTTCAGGATGCATAATAAGGCTTATCCGGAAGTAATTGTGTCTATTATCATTGAGGTTGTGCAGGGTGTTCCACCCCACCTGTATTTTGTTTATCATATATAATATGTAACCTCATTACTAGGCAGCCTGTTTATATGGCAGGAAGAGGTCACTAAACAAAAAATGAAATAGCTATAGGAGACTATCTAAACAATATACGTTTTGTAAAAAAAAGTTTATACATCTATTGTGTTACAGAGAGCAGTGTATCAACAATCCTAGGATCCAGAATGTCATCAGAGAGAGTGAGTAATGAGTAAAATATTTGAGACTGCTATCAAATATTTACTCACAGTTGTTATCAGTGTTTCAACACAACTCTTATGGTATAAAAATAATATTACAGGGTCAATATTAACCACACAAAGTGTTCTGAATTATGTAAAATAACATTCACATTACATTCCTTACAATGAAATCTCTTTTCTTATTAATTTTGATATTTTTTCATGATAATATTTTTATTCCATAATTTGTTTGAATAAATGAGATTTTATGAGGGTTGAAATGTATTAAACTGAATGAATCGATTCATGTTTGTCCTGAAATGACTTATTCCTATTGAGATTATTATCTTGAATTGGTATACAGTCAACATTATAACAGGGTAACGACAAATAAAGTTTTGCAGAAAGTATAATAATTATATGAAGAGCAAATGTAAATACGTAACAAAATTGATGCCACAAGTAAGCATTGCAGTGAATATTTCTAATTAGCACTACACACAAGCATCTTACAACTGTCCACATAAACTTTAAAATTACCACAGGTAATAATAAATTTCATTTCCTAAATTTGGTTTTATGTAATACAATTGTTTTGTGTTTTTTCTGTGTCTCGATAAAGGAACGGATTGCTCCGAAAATTTGACAACACCATATTGTCTACACTGTTATTTGCCCCGTTTTATATATATATCTATACATATATTAATCATTTTAGTCAAGAGAAGAGCACGAAAACAGAAGACTGATAGCCGTGACATTGCTGCTGAGAGATTAAACTGGAAAATCCATATTTGCTCCAAGAATAACTTTCCCACAGCCGCAGGGCTAGCCTCCTCAGCAGCCGGATATGCCTGTCTAGGTTTGATGAACAAATGCGCAAATTTGATGACAATGTGAACATTTCATAAAAGATATGTACATTTTAAGATTTGTATACAGAAAGAATATGGATGAATTGATTTTCTATATTGATTAAACAAACAGGAACGAACAATATAACACCACATTCTGAGAATCCTGCATTTACATATCTATATTAGATACTAAGAAGTGAGATAAAGACACGTTAAATATGGTTATTCCAGGGAATATTTTGAAAAAGAGTTAGACTGCAGCATTATTATTTTTTACACAAGAGTAATAAAACAATGACACTACTGACAGCCTTTAAAGCTATGTTTAGCACACAGTTGTATTGAATATTTCCCTATTTTTCAGTATATGCTCTCAAGTGTCTGTACAAGTTGGAAGGAGATGTGTCTGCGATTGCAAGGTAACAATTCACATCCTGTTGCAGTCAAACCTACAGTACTCAGGGTTAAAATCTGCCACAAAATACAACTAGAACAGTCAAATTTATCAAACATTTTGTTCTGAAAATAATAATGATAATCATAAAAAAGACACATTTTCACAAATACCTTTTTTCACATGGCAAACCACTTTGCAAAGGTTCAGTGTTGTTCTCAATTGCACTCATACATTTCAATAACAATATCTACCAATTACTATCATGATGAAAACAATGGCCATAACAAGAAATAAACCATATTCAATATTCATTGTTCTGTCTGATTTATATCTTGAATGACAACAAACCTTTTTTAATCAATTGTAAAAATGGGCGTAAAATTTCAATCTTTTATTTGACATTGTTTAGATGTGGATCAGGAAGTGCTTGTCGGAGTGTGCATGGTGGATTTGTTGTGTGGGACAAGGGTCAAAGATTAGACGGTTCAGATTCTATGGCTAGACAAATACAGCCACACACACACTGGCCAGATCTACGTGTACTTATACTGGTGGTATGTACATTTATCTAATGACTTGTCTGGGTCACCCAGTCAGATACAGCCACACACACACTGGCCAGATCTACGTGTACTTATACTGGTGGTATGTACATTTATCTAATGACTTGTCTGGGCCACCCAGTCAGAAACAGACCCACACACACTGGCCAGATCTACGTGTACTTATACTGGTGGTATGAACATTTATCTAATGACTTGTCGGGGTCACCCAGTCAGATACAGTCACACACACTGGCCAGATCTATTGTACTTATACTGGTGGTATGAACATTTATCTAATGACTTGTCTGGGCCACCCAGTCATAAACAGACCCACACACACTGGCCAGATCTACGCGTACTTATACTGGTGGGATGTACAAACAGACCCACACACACTGGCCAGATCTACTGGACTTATACTGGTGGTATGTACATTTACCTAATGACTTGTCTGGGTCACCCAGCCAGATACAGCCACACACACTGGCGAGATCTACTGTACTTATACTGGTGATATATGTACATTTGTCTAATGACTTGTCTGGGTCACCCAGTGAGATACAGCCACACACACTGGCAAGATATACTGTTCTTATTCTGTTGGTATGTACATTTATCTAATTACTTGTCTGGGTCACCCAGTCAAATACAGCCACACACACTGTCCAGATCTCCTGTACTTATACTGGTGATATATGTACATTTGTCTAATGACTTGTCTGGGTCACCCAGTCAGATACAGCCACACACACACACTGGCCAGATCTACGTGTACTTATACTGGTGATATATGTACATTTATCTAATGACTTGTCTGGGTCACCCAGTCAGATACAGGCACACACACACTGGACAGATCTTCGTGTACTTATACTGGTGGTATGTACATTTATCTAATGACTTGTCTGGGTCACCCAGTCAGATACAGCCACACACACACTGGACAGATCTTCGTGTACTTATACTGGTGGTATGTACATTTATCTAGTGACTTGTCTGGGTCACCCAGTCAGATACAGACACACACACACTGGCCAGATCTACATGTACTTATACTGGTGGTATACTTATACTGGTGGTATGTACATTTATCTAGTGACTTGTCTGGGTCACCCAGTCAGATCCAGACCCACACACTGGCCAGATCTACGTGTACACTTGTCTGGGTCACCCAGTCAGATATAGACCCACACACTGGCCAGATCTACGTGTACTTATACTTGTGGTATGTACATTTATCTAATGACGTGTCTGGGTCACCCAGTCAGATACATCCACACACACACTGGCCAGATCTACATGTACTTATACTGCTGGTATATACATTTATCTAATGACTTGTCTGGGTCCCCCAGTCAGATACAGCCACACACACTGGCCAGATCTACAGTACTTATACTGGTGGTATGTACATGACTTGTCTGGGTCACCCAGTCAGATCCAGACCCACACACTGGCCAGATCTACATGTACTTACACTGGTGGTATGTACATTTATCTTATGAATTGTCTGGGTCACCCAGTCAGATACATCCACACACACACTGGCCAGATCTACACGTACTTATACTGATGGTATGTACATTTATCTAATTACTTGTCTTGGTCACCCAGTCAGATACAGCCACATACACACTGGCCAGATCTTCGTGTACTTATACTGATGGTATGTACATTTATCTACTGACTTGTCTTGGTCACCCAGTCAGATACAGCCACACCCACTGTATTTACACTTGGGTCACCCAGTCAGATACAGACCTACACACTGGCCAGATCTATGTGTACCTATACTGGTGGTATATGTACATTTATCTAATGACTTCTCTGGGTCACCCAGTCAGATACAGCCCCAAACACACTACCAGATCTACGTGTACTTATCCTGGTGGTATGTACATTTATCTTATGACTTGTCTGGGTCACCCAGTCGGATACAGCCACACACACACTGGCCAGATCTACGTGTACTTATACTGGTGGTAGGTACATTTATCTAATGACTTGTCTGGGCCACCCAGTCAGATACAGACACACACACACTGGCCGGATCTACATGTACTTATACTGGTGGTTTGTACATTTATCTTATGACTTGTCTAGGTCACCCAGTCAGATACAGACCTACACCCTGGCCAGATCTACGTGTACTTATACTGCTGGTATGTACATTTATCTAATGACTAGTCTGGGTCACCCAGTCAGATCCAGCCACACACACACTGGCCAGATCTACATGTATTTATACTGGTGGTATGTACATTTATCTAGTGACTTGTCTGGGGCACCCAGTCAGATACAGGAACACACTGGCCAGATCTACGTGTACTTATACTTGTGGTATGTACATTTATCTAATGACTGGTCTGGGTCACCCAGTCAGATACAGGCCCACACACTGGCCAGATCTACATGTACCTATACTGGTGGTATGTACATTTATCTAAGGACTTGTCTGGGTCACCCAGTCAGATATAGACCCACACACTGGCCAGATCTACCTGTACTTATACTGATGGTATATACATTTATCTAATGCCTTGTCTGGGTCACCCAGTCAGATACAGCCACACACACTGGCCAGATCTATGTGTACTTATACTGGTGGTATATGTACATTTATCTAATGACTTGTCTGGGTCACCCAGTCAGATACCGACCCACACACTGGCCAGATCTACATGTATTTATACTGGTGGTATGTACATTTATCTTATGACTTATCTGGGTCACCCAGTCAGATACAGACCCACCCACTGGCCAGATCTACATGTACTTATACTGATGGTATATTCATTTATCCAATGACTTGAATGGGTCACCCAGTCAGATACAGACCCACAAACTGGCCAGATCTACATGTACTTATACTGATGGTATGTACATTTATCTTATGACTTGTCTGGGCCACCCAGTCAGATACAGACCCACACACTGCCCAGATCTACATGTACTTATACTGGTGGTATGTACATTTATCTAATAACTTGCCTGGGTCACCCAGTCAGATACAGCCACACACACACTGGCCAGATCTACGTGTACTTATACTGATGGTATATACATTTATCTAATGACTTGTCTGGGTCACCCATTCAGATACAGACCCACACCCTGGCCAGATCTACATGTACTTATACTGGTGGAATGTACATTTATCTTATGACTTGTCTTGGTCACCCAGTCAGATACAGCCACACACACTGGCCAGATCTATGGGTACTTATACTGGTGGTATATGTACATTTATCTAATGACTTGTCTGGGCCACCCAGTCAGATACAGACCCACACACTGGCCCGATCTACATGTACTTATACTGGTGGTATGTATATTTATCTAATGACTTGTCTGGGTCACCCAGTCAGATACAGACCCACACACACTGGCCAGATCTATGTGTACTTATACTGGTGGTATGTACATTTATCTTATGACTTGTCTGGGCCACCCAGTCAGATACAGACCCACACACTGGCCAGATCTACATGTACTTATACTGATGGTATATACATTTATCTAATGACTTGAATGGGTCACCCAGTCAGATACAGACCCACACACTGGCCAGATCTACATGTACTTATACTGGTGGTATATACATTTATCTAATGACTTGTCTTGGTCATTCAGTCAGATACAGCCACACACACTGTATTTACACTGTTGATATGTAAAAATCTCTCAATTTTTATCAGGTCATCAGGTGAGAAACAGCTGTGCACACTGTGCATATTTAATGATAGTATGCACAAGACCTCTCTGGGTCGTCTCAAAACATTATATAATGTACATGTCAGTCAGAATTAATATGGGAACACTAAACATTGTCAGGTAAATGAACAGAAGAAGCACACTGGGAGCACAGAAGGGATGCAAGTAACAATGGCGACTAGCCAGTTATTAAAGGAGAGAATCCGGAGTGTTCCGGACAAGATAGAACAGATAACTCAGGCCATCCATGACAGAGATTTCAAAACATTTGCAGAAATAACAATGAAGGCATGTATTCCTGTAGTTTGTACACTCATGGTTCAATGGTAAGCTTGAATTCTATGAATCTCAATTTTCCTTTTAGTATTTGAGTAACTGTGTTCATCTAGAGACTTTTTTTCAGAACTGATGACTGACAGGAATTTTCTCGATGCTGTATAGTTAGACACATGTATCATTTGTTACTTTGATCAATAAGAAACAGTCAAAACATTCTTTTGCATGATGTGGTTTTCATATTATGACAGAAAACTTGTACTTCATTGTATTCCCTGAAAATACACTTCACAGAGATGTAGCAATCACACTTGGACATGATTTGTCAAAGGTCAAGGTCACTGTTACTGAAAAAGAATCTGTTTGGATATTAACTTGCTTTGTACTAGGAGGGAGGATCAGCCATTTTGGCTGTAGTTTGTTAAAGATCAAGGTCATTATTGCTAAAAGAATAATTGTCCAGAGCTGAGCTTTGTGAGGAAGATGGTAACAACTATAAAATTTCATAAGCACACAGCTCCTTCTTAATGAAATTCATTGATATATCAACATCAGTTTACAGGGGGATATACTGCCTCTGGAAACTGTTTTAATTTACAAATAAATTGTGTTCTTTGTTTTCCATTACTCACAGGACAGTAACCAAATGCATGCCTGCTGTCTAGATACTTACCCACCCATCTCCTACCTAACAGATGTGTCGCGGAGGATAATTCACCTTGTCCACTGTTTTAACAAGCACCGTCAGGAAACCACGGTCAGTGTTTCTTCTCATCAGGCCATAGTGATGGAGGATGGGGGAGGAGGTGGTTAAAATATCATTTCTCACCCATCCTGTACATTTCCAGCCAACTTCCTGTCATTTTTTTTCAGAAAACTTTGTGTTTGTTATAGAAGTCTATTTATTGACATGTGAACAATGCCAATGTATACAATGTAGAATAATATTAAGTTCATACCTTCAAAATGAGAGTCAAAAACTGTGTAGATTCATGTTTTGTACTTTGTTATAATTTATGGGTATACATTAGGTTTAGGTACTAGTATATACTTGTAATTAAAGGTATTTATATAATTGACAGGTTGCCTACACCTTTGATGCTGGTCCAAATGCTTGTCTATTCCTTCTAAAGAAAGATGTCAAAAAGTTTCTTCACCTTGTGAAACGATTCTTCCCTCCAAAGACAGAAGAGCAAGATTTCATCCGAGGAAACACAAAGCAGTTAATGGAAAACTTGTCAAATGTGTGTATGATGTTTCTAATTGTAAAATAGATTGATAGTATGACTTAATTGAATTGTAAAATAGATTGATAGTTTGACTTAATTTATGTCTGACAAAAGTTTTCTGTTGATTTGGTTCTGGATATGGTGCTCTCATCTTTTTCACTTTTTGACATTTCAAACTTTTCCCATTGTAAATTTTTGTCTTTTTTTTATAATAAATCATATTAACTGATAATAATGAAATGAAATACATCTATGCAACTATTTTAAGACCATGCATATAGGCTCAACAGAACTGACATTAATATTTAATTTGATTCAGGACTGTGAAGAAGACCTGAGTTACTTTCCCTTTGATCCGATGGAAGACAGCTTGAGGTATATAATATACACAACGCCAGGCCCTGGCCCTCAGGAGCTACCCTCTGACCAAAGCCTCCTGGGCGAGGATGGTTTGCCAAAGTCACTTTCCTGACCTTCAATGTATTCAATAATATACATGTACTATTATCATTAATTGTTTTATTAAAGCTAAATTGTTTAATAGGCATGGTTTGTTTTTTATCTTGATAAAAGGTACATTGAAATTTGTCTTAAGTATATCATTAATAAATTAGGCACCTGTCTCAATGTAAATTAATTTACATGTGGTTTTATGCAATGAAACCACCAATTTCAAGAAAAGTCTCGATGTCATACCAGGGTTTGGTAAAATAATGAGCAAAATAAGGATCAATTAAATTGTTCATGATACTTGAAAGGGAGGTGATAAATTCAGGAAGATTATACAGAGGAATAACTGTATTTTATATAGTAAATTTCAAAACCTGGGCGGCCAGGAAGTGTTCAGACAGGGTTTTTTTCCCGCCGCCACGATGTGGAAGCGAGACAGGTGTTACTTTTATGGCGACGATGGCGTCAACATTAAGTTTATGTGTTTAAGTTAGTTTCTCTGAATGTCGACTAGTTGGTTCACTTCCGATTCAGTCAAAGAAGGCTTATTATTTCGAAAAAAATGAAGAATGTGGTAAGGACCATAGACAGCTTTTTAGACTCGCCAAAATCTTAATGGGTCAGAAAGGTGAAATTATCCTACCAAGCTGTAATTCTGAAAAAGACTTGTCAAACAAGTTCAGTGATTACTTTCTAAATAAAATCAGCTCGATCAGGAAAAATATATCGGAAGGGAACTCTACTGCTGACAATGATATCTCTGTCATGAGTCATGACTGCTGACATTAAATTTGATGGGGAACCATTGACGAAGCTCTCACCAACAACCCAGGATGAGTTGCGCAATATCATCATGACCTCGCAATCGAAGTCCTGTGAGCTTGATCCACTGCTTACAGACCTATTAAAGCAATGTCTTGAAGCACTGCTTCCTTTGATTACCTCAATCATGAACAAATCATAGGCTGAGTCAAAGGTTCCATTGTGTTTCAAGAAGGCACATGTTAATTCATTGTTGAAGAAGCCTGGAATGGACAAGGAGGAGTTAAAAGAACTACCGCCCAGTATCAAATCTGCCTTTTCTGTCCAAGATCTTGGAGAAGGTTGTGTTCTGGCGTTTAGAGGTTCTCCATGCAAACATGCAGTCTCCATGACAACCTTCAATCGGCCTACCGCATGGGACACTACTAGAGGGTCCAGAACACTGCAGCACGGCTGGTTACTCGTACTCGAAAGAGAGAGCACATCACACCTGTGCTATATTCATTGCACTGGTTACCTATAAGATACAGGTCGCAGTACAAAATTTTGGTGTACACGTACAAGGTACTGAATGGAAGTTCCCCAGTACCTACAGGAGCTTGTTACCCTGTATCAGCCGTCACGATCACTGCATTCGGAGTCAAAATCATTGTTGTGTGTCCCAAAATCTCGTAATGTGACCTATGGAAACCGGTGCTTTGGGAGGGTTTCCGCCACGTTGTGAAATAGCTTGCCATCTGGTATTAGAAAGTCAAATACCCTGGCCAAATTCAAGAAAGACATAAAAACTCACCTCTTCATGTCTGCATTTTAAGCTCTTTGCAAAGTCGTCATGTAAATACCACCTTTATTTATTCATTTATGTGCACATTGCGATGATTATTTGCTCTCTTAATGTATAAAAGTGATTATAAGCCTTTGTTTTTTGTTTCACAATTATTACTAATTATATATAATACTATTATCCATATGGTGTAAAGCGCTTTAGAGTTATTTTACAAATTATATAGGGCGCTATATAAATGTTGTATATTATTTATTATTATGAGAGAATTAACACATATGCTACCACTTCTTTTGATGGCAGTACCTGTATTTATCTATTTATCTGTTATTCATATACTTTTCATTCCGCTAAATATCCTAAACATAGAGACGTTTTCAAAAGAAAATTTGCGCGAGTTGCGCGAGATAACAGTATTTAAAATAATATGCAAGTCATATCTAACAAAGGACACCTTTCTTTGGCCAAAGGAACAAAGGACACGAATTGCTCTGGAAGGGTACATACATTTCCTTTTTTAATTATTAAGTATAACAATATCTACTCGTAACAGGAACCGTTACACCATAAGGTGCCGAGGCTAACCAAGTATAGTCGCAAGTGATGCATCAGAAAATGATCGCAATGCCATAATACTAGGGTTGTCAAACCGGTCTTATTTTTGTAACTGGTTACTCGAACAACTTGCCGATCGAGTATCCGGTTAATCGGTCAATTTGGTAATTAAATAATAAACAGCAACAAATACATTATATGTTTGGAAAATGATCTATCTGAAACGTATTTACACCACAAACATACATGTATATATTAAATATCATGATAGTTTACTGGTGTATTTCAAGGTTAACATTGGAAATAGTTGCATGTAACCTCAGTAAGCCATGGACAACAAATGTTGGAATGCAGTAAGACGGATTCAATTACAGCTATCTGTACAGTACTCAAAATCATATGCGGTAATATTATTATTTAGAACAAAATTTGCTTGACAATCGTTTAAGGACATGTTTGCTCATTCAAGTGTGTTCTCTTCAGATTATCTTTACATCTCGCATGTGAAGGCGCGTTCTATCTCAGAAAGTTGATATTTCTCAACTTTGTATTCTGGCTTCTTTCTAAAATTTGGTCAAATTTTTTATGGTGTTGTCGTCATCTCTTTGTCAGTATTTAAATAAGAGTACAAATTTAATCCATGAACACGTTTTTTATTACAAAACTTTCCAATTTTGGTCGCATCTATACAAATGCATATAGTTGGTAGGTCAAGGAAACATAGGGGTCCCAAAAGGGGTAAGTAAATGTCCGACTTTTCGGTTAAGGATTTTGGTAACCGGTTCGTAATCTTTCGCCCGAGTAACCGGTTGACCGGCTAACCGTTGACAGCCCTATATACCAAATCTATAACATCGGTCTATATCTAAATGTCGACCAATCAGGACCCGACCTAACACAGACATTTTGTCAAATAAAAAAAAATAAAAAATGAAAACGATTTTTTTTTATTAATGAGTAAAGATTGACGAGTAAATAATTTTTAGTAGCGAAAATGCATGGAATATGGAATAGATATAAAACCAATTGAATATGAATTTTTGAACTGTTGAGATATTCGGTATTGTTAATATAATACTGCAATTGTAGCCATATTCATTATATCTATGAAAGTGATGGGTTTTCCCAGACTTAAAAAAATACTTTTAATACTTTCCCATCCGAGGACCAACTTTTGAATAAACTTTTTGATTCCATGATGTAATCCCCTATGTAAAAACAAATCGTAAGACGGAAAAGTGGTCTTCCTTTGGAAAAGTGCTCAAAATGATGAAAAACAGGGTTGATCAAGTTTTCAAAACTGCGACAGATGTTCCATGATCGTCTATGCCCGGTGTAGCCTAATGTGTAACGCAGTTAGCTGGTTCGAATCCACATTCAAATACATTTTTTTTTCTTCTTTCTTTTTTAACATTTAGGCAAGTGATCATTTTCCTTAGTAAAGTGAAAAATAGTTTTCAAATCAATGGAACATTCTATTGATATTTTAATAACATACCTATTGATTTATCTTCTGTGGAATCATGTCAACACATCCCTGTACGCGTGTACAGTACAGCTACGCTTTGTTTTATGAATTGTTTTACCCTCCAATTGGCACTAGTATTTTTATTTATAATCTTAACACAAACAAATGATGCCGAAATACAAAATATACGGGATTGTTGCGTCAGAATAGAAAAAAAAGACAAAGCAAAAAAAAGAAGTGTTATTATCGAAAAAATATTACCAAACATGCGGGAAAATTCATCGTCGAGGACAATCTCTTTTGTTTTAAATGCAGGAAGACTGCAGCACAAAGTTAGGAGCGCAACACACGTGTAAGACATTCCAATCGAAAACTATATGTAATTTTACCATTCCAAGCACCAGGAAGAACAAAATGAAGCTGTGTGCTTTTTAAGAAAACATGTAACGGCATGACGTAGGCAATAGTTAATAGTTATAAGAATAAATCCTTACAAACTTGGTAATGATTGTACGATCTTGTGTTTTATACAGCATAACGCGAAATAAGCATTTTTTTGAGTCTTTATCGTCAAACGCATGTATTAATAGCCATGACCCAATTCATTCTGAAGAGGGTAAGTTGTGGATTAGGGCTACTCCGTCGTATCAAACAGTATCTGCCAGTAAGTGGACGGTAAAAAAAAAATCATGTGTATTTCCGCATTTTGTTTACTGCTGTACAGTGTGGGGAGGCTCTACTGACAATATAATGAACAAGTTAAATAAGTTACAAATATCCATTTGAAACTCCTTCAAAAGAAATGTTTTCTGTGTTGAAATGGATGCCTATCAAATTGTATATTAATAATGTGTACATGGACTTGCTCCTGAATATTTATGTTCTTGTTTTAAACATGTAAACAGTGTCCACTCCAGAGCTACACGACGGGCTGAACAGAATGTGTTGTACATTCCTAAGCACAGGACAACCTTCTATTCTAGTCACTTTGTTTTATCAAGTTGTAAGACTTGGAATGCACTTCCAAATGATGTAAGGTCATCACCATCTTTTAACACGTTTAAGCATAGAGCTATAAAGCACTACTGTAATTCATACTTTTAGATAAAGAAAACAGTTTTTAATTTATGCTATATTAGCGTATATCCTGGTAATTTTTATACTTTGCTATATTAGCATATGTGTATGTAAGGCTCCGGCCATTTAACTATTATCAGACCTTCAAAGCATGAGAGTTATGCTTTCTGTGATATTTGATGTATTGTACTATATAATTGCATGTAATATTTTCAGCAATCTCATAACTTATATTTTAGAGGTCATTTATGTTTAATTTATATTACTATGTTTTAAGAAATACTATGTAAACACTAACACATTTCACTAACATAGAGGACCCTGAGGGAGATTAGCCTTTGGCTAAATCAGTTTTTTTTAATCCTCAATAAATAAAGTTTATTATTATTATTATTATGACCTTAAATTCGTCTGTTTACAATAATCTATTCTTAGACAC